TCCCTACAACACCTGTGCATGCTCCTGATGAGGTGGTGGATGGTCTCCTGAGGGATCTCCTCCCAGACCTGGACTTAAGCATCTGCCAACTCCTGGACAGTCTGTGGAGCAACGTGACGTTGGTGGATGGAGCTAGACATGATGTCCCAGATGTGCTCAATTGGATTCAGGTCTGGGGAACGGGTGGGCCAGTCCATAGCATCAATGCCTTCATCTTGCAGGAACTGCTGACACACTCCAGCCACATGAGGTCTAGCATTGTCTTGCATTAGGAGGATCCCAGGGCCAACCACACCAGCATATGGGGTCTGAGGATCTCATCTCGGTACCTAATGGCAGTCAGGCTACCTTTGGCAAGCACATGGAGGGCTGTGCAGCCCCCCAAAGAAATGCCACCCAAACACCATTACTGACCCACTGCCAAACCAGTCATGCTTGAGGATGTTGCAGACAGCAGAACGTTCTCTACGGCGTCACCAGACTCTGTCACGTCTGTCACATGTGCTCAGTGTGAACCTGCTTTCATCTGTGAAGAGCACAGGGCGCCAGTGGCGAATTTGCCAATCTTGGTGTTCTCTGGCAAATGTAAGCACAACCCCCACCTGTGAATGTCGGGCCCTCATGGAGTCTGTTTCTGACCGTTTGAGCAGACACATGCACATTTTTGGCCTGCTGGAGGTCATTTTGCAGGGCTCTGGCAGTGCTCCTCCTGTTCCTCCTTGCACAAAGGCAGAAGTAGCGGTCCTCCTGCTGGCTTGTTGCCCTCCTACGGCCTCCTCCACGTCTCCTGATGTACTGGCCTGTCTCCTGGTAGCGCCTCCATGCTCTGGACACTACGCTGGCAGACACAGCAAACCTTCTTGCCACAGCTCGCATTGATGTGCCATCCTGGATGAGCTGCACTACCTGAGCCACTTGTGTGGGTTGTAGGCTCCGTCTCATGCTACCACTAGAGTGAAAGCACCACCAGCATTCAAAAGTGACCAAAACATCAGCCAGGAAGCATAGGAACTGAGAAGTGGTCTGTGGTCACCACCTGCAGAACCACTCCTTTATTGGGGTGTCTTGCTAATTGCCTATAATTTCCACCTGTTGTCTATCCCATTTGCACAACAGCATGTGAAATTGATTGTCACTCAGTGTTGCTTCCTAAGTGGACAGTTTGATTTCACAGAAGTGTGATTGACTTGGAGTTACATTGTGTTGTTTAAGTGTTCCCTTTATTTTTTTGAGCAGTGTACAATACAGAATATGCAGGTAGGATACAGAGTGTGCAGTTAAAATGCAAACTATGTATGTACAATACAGAGTGTGCAGGTAGAATACAGACAATGTAGGTAGAATACAGATTATGCAGGTGATAAACAGATTGTGCGGGTAGAATGCAGAGTGTGCAGGTAATATACAGTCAGTGCAGGTAATATACAGTCAGTGCAGGTAATATACAGTCAGTGCTGGTAGAATACAGAGTGTGCAGGTAATATACAGTCGGTACAGGTAGAATATATAGTGTGCAGGCAGTAAAGGGAATATACAGACATTTGGCTGCATTTTCTGACCAGAGTAAGAGTTTACTCTGCATTCTGCATAGTAAATTTCCTGTAGCCTTCAATGGAGAAATTGTTATTCTGTATCCAGCCAGGTATATGTAAAATAATAACTGCAGGTAAAAAGACCATTAGCAGTCTTTTGAATGTTCTAGCACAGAGTGTAGGGATTCCAATACCATCTTGTACCCATGATCTGTTCCCTGTGGAGGCTCTGTTCTTCTGGCATGAGATGGGTATTATTCCTCACAGATGAGCTCTCACATGACAAGTCATTTTTTTCACTAAATAATCTTTACGAAGAAAGAACAGAACATTTTGTTGTTGTATTTCTCCTGCTTTCACTGTTGGGCCTTTCAATGCCATGCTGACTGATTGTATAATTGTCCTCTCTTAGTACACACTGCAGGATGTGATTGACTAAACAGTTTGGTCCTTTATTCTGGCACATATGCTGGCTTGAAGGTTTGGGTGCTGGGGGATGCTGGTTAACTCTAAAGCAGCAGGGAATCGCTTAAAGGAACACTATAGTCACCTAAATTACTTTAGCTAAATAAAGCAGTTTTAGTGTATAGATCATTCTCCTGCAATTTCACTGCTCAATTCACTGTCACTTAGGAGTTAAATCACTTTGTTTCTGTTTATGCAGCACCAGCCACACCTCCCCTGGCTATGACTGACAGAGCCTGCATGAAAAAAACTGGTTTCACTTTCAAACAGATGTAATTTACCTTAAATAATTGTATCTCAATCTCTAAATTGAACTTTAATCACATACAGGAGGCTCTTGCAGGGTCTAGCAAGCTATTAACATAGCAAGGGATAAGAAAATCTTAATTAAACAGAACTTGCAATAAAGAAAGCGTAAATAGGGCTCTCTTTACAGGAAGTGTTTATGGAAGGCTGTGCAAGTCACATGCAGGGAGGTGTGACTGGGGTTCATAAACAAAGGGATTTAACTCCTAATTGGCAGAGGATTGAGCAGTGAGGCTGCAGGGGCATGTTCAATACACCAAAACTGCTTCATTAAGCTAAAGTTGTTCAGGTGACTATATTGTCCCTTTAAAGGAGAACTGTCATCATTTTACAGTTGGTTGATTTTATCCTTAAAACAGCAACATTGTAGTGAAACAGATTAGGAAACATATTTTCAATTCTTGAATAACACAGGTCATGATACAGAATAAAATCATAAATAGTTCAGCAGCTACTCCATAAAAACTCTTTGATGTGAGTTTCCCTCATGTTTAGCAAAAAAAAAGAAAAAAAAGAATTGTTATTGTGAAATATTTACTGATCTTTCTGATTCCTTTATCTACTGACTTAGAACTCACTGTACTAAATACAGGGAGGGAAGAATGGAGAAAAAACCTGTCCCGCAGCTCTCTTTATCCAGAAGCCCTTCAGAGGGCTTCTGAAGATTTTTCCAGCCATGGAACTTTAGATTATTCTTCCAAGATTAGGTCACCAAACTAAAAGAATAATAGTGTGTTAGAAACCGTTATGTCTTGGACAATGTCAAGGTAAAGCCGGCCGAGTAACAGGTATCTCAATAACAATATAAAGAACAAGTTCAGTTAATCTCAGGAACAAAATATATCATAATGGAACCTTAAGAAACAAGCCAGAACAACGTATGTCATTGTAATGAA